AATAGCATATAAATATATCCTAGTGTCTTAATTGTTTAAATTTTTATAATGTATTAGCATTAGCTTCTTATCGATCCACCAGTTCACATTTGTGACTGCGTGTTTGCTGCATAAAAACATGGGTCAGCTTTCGCTTTGGTCTGAACAAAAACAGTAAACAGGCTTACTGAAAAAGCAAATTTTGATACAAAACTTTGATATAACTAAATTCAAGACTTTTTAAGACCTGCGGAAACCCTGATTTACTTTTACCTGGTCTTTAAAGTGGTCTCAAACCTCTTTTTAGTTGTGATAGTGTCTCAGTCCTCATTATATTCATAAAGGTGTTTTAGGAAGCCAAACAATTTGAATAATATAATATAACATAAGCATTATTATATAATAAAATAATAATAATTTTATTATTATGATCCCTAAGAGAGTTTAATAATAGGTAAAGGGATAGTTCACCCAATAATTAAAAATTGTCATCATTTACTCACCCTCAAGTAGTTTCTTTATGCTGTTAAAAACAAAAGAAGATATAAAAAAAAAAAAAGAAAGTCTATAGTATTTTTCTGTCCATACTATGGAAGCCAATAGCTACCAGCAACTGTTTGGTTACCAACATTCTTCAAAATATCCTTTTTTGCATTCAACAGAAAAAATAAATTCATAAAGGTTTTGAACAACTTGAGAGTGAGTGATGCATGTTAAACTCGCAGAGTATGTAACGATAAAGCTTGCTGCATTCACTGCGAATCAAGATGCTCTTAATATGCTGGGAAAACCGGATAGTGAGCTACTCACATGAATATTAGGGATGTAATGATTAACCGCGAGCTGGTTGAAAATCGATTTAAATATGTGACAATTCAAATCGGTTGAGATGCTAAACAAATCGCGATTCATTTAGGGGTAGGAGTTTATATGAATGCATGTCTGAGGGGAACTTACTGTCTTTAGAAAAGTTTAGATGGTATTTTTTCTTTTCATCTTGCCTCTGTATAAAGCATATTAAAGTTCATAAGTGCAGCGCTGCTTTGTTTACAGTGGAAACCAAGGAAACGCTTTAAGCTCCACCTGCTGGCAGAGAGTGAATCTGCCTCTCATTCAACTCGTCCGCTCTGTTAAGATATTTTTATGTATAGTTCAAAACAACCGCATAGCCGCTCTTTAGAGTAGATGCATGTTGATTTTATCAGACGATGCCGCAATTATAAATTAGAGTGACTCCTGGTTAACGTATTAAAAGGGTCATGTTTAGTCACTATTTAGTGTGGTATTTTTTTACAATATTCACTCATCATGACAGTAATATAGGGCATTCTAAGCAAATATACTGCAGTATTTCCTCTCTCAATCAGTAGAAAACATGCTTAACACCCGGTCATGCATGACCGCTCTTTAGAGTAGATGCATGTTGATTTTATCAGACGATGCCGCAATTATAAATTAGAGTGACTCCTGGTTAACGTATTAAAAGGGTCATGTTTAGTCACTATTTAGTGTGGTATTTTTTTACAATATTCACTCATCATGACAGTAATATAGGGCATTCTAAGCAAATATACTGCAGTATTTCCTCTCTCAATCAGTAGAAAACATGCTTAACACCCGGTCATGCATGAAAAAAAAAAATACCATCATGTACCGTGAAAACTGTATAATTTTGAAAAATACCGTGATATAAATTTTTGGTCATACCACCCAGCACTAAATCGTGAAATCAAAATCGTGAATCGAATCAAATCGTGAGTTGAGTGAATCGTTACATCCCTAATGAATATAGTGCCGCACTTCGCTTTGAAACACAACTTGCAGCCTTTTGTGATTTAATAAGTGCACAAAGCCATAGTACGGTTTCGATTCTAGATCAACTGACAGATGCTTTGCCAAAGCAATGGTGCAAAACACAACATTCAATGAGTTCTTTTAAAGTCATTAAGTAAAAATATTTTTGGTTCATTATGAAACTGTGGTGGCCTGCCAGAGTCTAGGTAATTAACTGGGACACTGCACCGAAACTACAAATCCATTCAGGTACCTGTATGAGGGCCGTCTAGACAGGATCTCTCTTCTTTTCTGGGAATCTGTCACACTGTCCACTGACTCCTGTGAATCATCACTCTCAGCAATGGTAGAAATCTAATACAAAGACAACAAAATAACGTGAATATAGATAGCAAAAAAAGGCCAGGTATTGTTTCTAAACTATCAAGTTTAGAAGCTGCCTGCATGTAATTTGGAGTCTGCAAATACATCTCAAACAGAATGATGTAATGAAATGTTCACAATTTTACAGTTCTCTCATAAATTAACCATCATGTCAGGCTTACTTGTACAGTATGCACCTGGGGGGATTGGATGACAGAGGGCTGGGCTGCCTGGATGACGCCGTGAACTTGCACCGTTTGCCCATTGGGCAGCTGAAGTAAGGTCACTGTGGGAGCAGTGGCTGATACCTGTCCTGCAGCCATGGAAACCTGCGTCAGGGAGGCACAACAGGGTGAGACACAGAGACTAAACAAAGCTAGAACTGAACTGAATTCAAATATAAACCCACAGTCACATGCATAATTACTAGAGCCGTCTTGCTAGCAAACGTGTTTCCAAGAGGTTCGAAAACACGCAAACTCACCTGCGCTAAGGTGGCAATCTGCTGAGTGTCTGTCTCTGAGACTGCAGTGTCGCCGCCCTGCTGGACATCTGCTCCTGCCTCCATGGTCATTTAGATTGCCTGGAGATGTAATTTAAATCTTTTACTTTGGCAGATATACAGGATACTATAAATATCCTATGAACATATATAGTAGGTCATCAACGTCTCCTGACAAGGGAAACTGTATCTGAAATGGTGTGACCGCAAAAAACACCCTGCCCACAGACTGGGCTTGTCAGAGTTTCATTTTGAGTATTTTGTGTATTCAATTATGTAGCCTGAAGGATTGTCCTATAAAGTATTTATGTATGCATTACGGTTTAACTTAATCAAGTAAAATTATATAGATTACTCATTTATAATAAATCATACATTTGCAATATATGATATAATTTTTTTTTTTGACATATTATATAGTCTAAATGTATTTACACGACAAAAATATGACATTGCAAAATTAATGTGAAAAATACAGATTATAATATGAATAGCAACAAACGTAGGACAGAGGCGTTAACAGATGTTTGAGAACATGCTTAATTTATATTAACGAAATTCACTTTGATGGACCCATAACGGTTTTGTAATGAGTAATAATGTTAGACTTAGAACTCGTGCTCAACAAACCATGTTGACTCCATTTGCCGCCTTTTTTTTTTACTTCCGTATACAGCTGTCACTCAGATTTGAGCTTAGGTTTTTAAGGATTTATGGATGTAGTTAAAGAAAACACTCAAACAGGGCGCCATCAAAATTACGTCATTTTTGTGAAGTGCCTATTTATGGATATTTAAGGTAAAGCACAACAATAAATACAAGTGCTTGCATTTCCAGGCGTGTTTCGACATGTAAAATAGTGTTCCAGGTTGAATGAAGCAAGCATGCAACACAAAATCACTCTGTTTTATGGTGTCATTTGAGGAAATTAATACTCAAGAGCATTACATTTTCTCTTATTTTATTACCAATTAAAATCACAAATGATTACAGAGGATAATTGTTTTAGTGGTACAGAAGACGTATGCATGGGAGAGATTGCAGTAAAGATCTTTAATGTAACGGAGAGCTTCGACTGCTCCATAAAGCAATGCTGGAGCCAAGAAAAAAAAATATTTCGTGTGCTGTAGTATTTCCATAAAAAGGTGCCACGGACGGGCGGTCGCATTCATAACTCTACGCATCTCTTATCCTTTCCATAAACACTTTGTAGAACCGTCGCGCTTTCCTCATTCGACTGCCTGACTGACTCATTGTCTGCAAGCAAGTCTGAGCTGTTGAGAAACATGCCCACCGCCGCCATGATCTCTTTGTTACAGACGCATCGACCATTGCGACATGTCCACTAAAACGGCAAGTGTATTATCTCTTTCCCCCACGAATGCGTCTCTTCTTACCCGACACAGACTCGCCTCGTCACTCCCAGGCCTCCGGAGCTCCACTTTTATTTAGTCCGACACGTAAGAGACCGCGTCAGGCTACACCTCCGTCGCGTCACCGAGGACAACAACACAGAGAACGAGCGAGGGAGACGAAATACAGCCCTAACTCACGATCGACAGGATCCGATGTGTAGGCGGAACATGCCGAACTGTGTACGAAGATTTACGAACAGCTGCCGAACGGAGTCGGACTCACACGAGGCCACGCTAAACGTCTACCCACCCGAGCATGCGTCAAATCTTTGTGCCGTGATTGGCTGCCTTTTGTCTTAATAAATATGAATACATCTGTTCAAATGCACTAGAGCAGGGGTTTTCAATCTGTCAGATGCAACGGAGTCCCAAATCTGACCATCCTCATGCGAGGAGCATGAATGAGGGGCCCCCATAATATGTAAAATATTATTTGGAAATTATTTTTTCCTACTCACTATAATACTGTGCTGTTATATAAATTATTATTCATCAAATTATTTATTTAATTAAATACTTACTCTGTTTGTTTTACTCTATTTGTTTCAATCATTTTTATTATGTATGTTTTAATATAATTTATCAATTGTTTTTATGTTAATGTCATTTATTTATTTATTTTATTCAAACTTTTCGTTATTTATTTTACTCGATTTAGTTATTTATTTTTATCTTATTTTTTATCGCTTAATTGTCTTACTTTTTTTTTTTTTACACTATTTTTCTCTAAACATTTACACGGACCCCCAGTACTCCCTTGTGCCCCCTGGGGGTCCACGGACCCCAGTTTGAAAACCCCTGTTCTAAAGGACCAATGTTTTAAAGGAAAAGGAAAAAATAAGACAGACAGAGAGACTGCAGTAGTTTTGCAGTAGCTAGGGGCGGTGCTTGTCAACATGAAGTTACGATTGGATAACTTGAGTGCAACGTCACGGCAATGTTCACCAATCAAAAATAAATAATCACTGCAGAAGGAGAAGCGCACAAGTTTTCCGCCTACTTGCCAGGAACCAGGAAATAATCATGGTATTTTGATACATAGGTCCACTCTCACTTGATTTTAGTCGTTGTGACATATTTACTTTCTGTTACTTTCGTGGTCGACGGAGTTTGTTGCAGCTATGGCATCGTTATTCAAGAAAAAGACCGTAGATGGTAAGTTTCTTGTTGCTGCTCTGATGGCTTGTTTGTTTGTTTGTTAAAACCGCCCAGCAACACTCTCACGTCAATCATCGACTGGTTTCTTTAATACTCTTAATTTGTTGAATACATTAAATCTCATCTGGGCTCTTTTTGGGCCTGTCCACTGTGCTATCTAACACAGAAGCGTCTATATATTCTGAAACTGTGTTTGGGACAGCTGCCACCGAAAACATTTTGAGTTTTCTTGATCTGACTTAAGTCTAAGAACTGATACGTAAAAGTATCGAGTTAAAGATGGTCTATAAAACAAATCTAATAGTTTATAAAACCACTGGGCCACTACTGTAAAGCTAAGTGGTCTAAAATGGCTTGTTATTGAAGTAGTAACCATACATTCATTTCTTATCTGACTCAGACATTTCAGCATTTATAATTTACATGGTGATCGATAACTATATCTCCTCTCATAATCCAGATGTTATTAAAGAACAGAACAAAGAACTGCGGGGAACGCAGAGACAGATTACGAGAGACCGGACAGGACTGGAAAAACAGGAAAAACAGCTGGTGAGATTCCCCACCCATCAGTGTGACGTGAATATGATGCCAAATGTTCCCCTTTCTCACCATTGAGGTGTGTGAGATCACGAGGTTATGTCATTAATGGTGCAGAGAGAGCCTTAGTGTGGCAGTGGATTATGACTGACAGCTCATAATTGTGTTTGGAGTTGAGATAAGGCCTATTTATGCCATTGTGACGTTGTATCTTTCAGAAGTTGCTGGTGGAAACTGATACTTTTCTTATAACCGCCACCCTTCATACCATTCATACACTCATACCAGTGCAAACATAACTATGATCGTACACTGTAAATAATATCCTGTTAAATTTACATTTAAACCGGCAGCTGTGGTTGCCATAAACAGTATATAAAATACTGTGACAGTGTTTCAGGTATTATGGAATGACATTGGTTAGAACTTACAACCATATATTTCATTAAGTGATTTAATTTTAAAGTATTAATTAATCTAATTGAACTACCAAAAACAGCTTTTTATATTTAAATGATAAACTTCATATACTGTAAATACAGGTTTAAATGTAAGGCCCTATGATGACTGAAGTTCATTGTAAGTGGCCATGTCCTTAAAACATAACCAATACTTGTATATAAACACTAAAACAATGCAATAAACATGAACTAAATAATAAAATATATAACAAATAAATAGTAAATATAACAAAATGACTAAATAACAAAATGTAACAAAAATCACCCTAAAGCACATTGCTAATGATAAAAATATGAATAAACAAAGTTGTTTATTTAAAATAATATATAATCAGATGTGAATAAATAAATGTGACCGTATTTTACAGTAAAATTAAATATAATGTGATGTTAAACCATTTGCAGTTTTCACTGTATATGATAACATGCGTACATTTAAGCAACCAGCAGGATTTTACTGCAGCATTTTTATTTTTTGGCAAAAATATATTTTTTTTCTTTGGCTTCTTGCACAAATGTACAACAAAAATGACATATAATTACTTAAATTCACATCGAAACCATGCCACATACTGCATTTCACATACACATTTTATTTTAATATGCTCTGTTCTCACCTGTGAAGCATTTTGAGCTGCATTTTACCTATTAAAAGTATTATACAAATAAAAAATCTTCATTCTTATTCTACTACTGCTACTACTCTCACCACTAAGCCTAATTCTGGATAACTGTGTGATGCAATTATAATGCCAGTAGGTCCATCCCTAACTGTTTCCTAATGTTTGCTTTCTTTATCACAGGAGATGGAAATCAAGAAAATGGCAAAGACAGGAAACAGAGAGGCCTGTAAAGTTTTAGCCAAGCAGCTTGTTCAAGTGAGGAAACAGAAAACGCGCTCATATGCCGTCAGTTCTAAGGTCACCTCCATGTCCACACAAACCAAGCTAATGAACTCCCAGATGAAGATGGCTGGTGCCATGGCCACAACCACCAAAGTAAGATCCTTCTTTCTTTTTGAACTAATTTTTCTAAAAGTCTGTCCTGAGCCTCATGAATTTTAGCTCCGTTCATTTTCCTGACAGTGATTTAAAACTAAACTCTTAAGTTAGGTTGAATATTATGTGGAACTGCTGTGATTTCACATTTAAGTAAATAGGGCTGTTTATTTTGTAGTCCTAAAAACCAAGGAGTATTAGCATTTTCGAGTCATGGTTTCCCACTGGAATTTCTAATGGGTATTTTGAGTTATGGTTTTGGATTTATGAGTAAAATAAGGACTGTGGTAAACATTACCAGAAGCAACTTTACTTTTTTGTTTGTGAAATTCTCTTTAATGTGAAAGGATCTTAAAGTAATCTTAACCTTATTTTACTCATAAATGGAAAACCACTTTTCAAAAACCCCATTATAAATTCCCAAGGGAAGTCATGGCTCAAAAATGCTAGTTTGTTTCTAGCTAGGGCAGCAAATTGACATTGTGCACAACTTAACAGCTCTATTAATTATGTATGTTACGAGCCATGTGGTTTTGGTTTCATTAGTATTTGTACTGATTTGAGCACATACAGTATGTTGGTCTATAAATGCATAGCTTGCACAGTGTACTAGCACTTCAATACACAGCCATTATTCTTTGCATAAGTAGTCATAAGTGCAAAAATTTCAAATGGACATGAATCAAAGAGTGACTCATTTGTTTGTGCATCTGCCTTTCGCAAAACAACTTGCAGACAATGCAAGCTGTCAACAAAAAGATGGATCCGAAGAAGACAATGCAGACCCTGCAGAACTTCCAGAAAGAGACTGCAAAGATGGACATGACAGAAGAGATGAGTAAGATTTATTTATTTATTTATTTATTGTTTTTTTTCGTGGGTGTTTTTGTTAGTGGGTTTTATAAAATAATGTCGTAAGAAGGAAGGAAGAGTTTTGGACAAGAGTTTTTTTTTTCTTACACCAGAGTGACTCCTATGATGAATAACTTGATGTTTCCAAAAGAAATGAGTGGGGGAAAAAAAGATAAAAAAAAAAACGTTTAAAACTTCATTCTCAAAAAAGCTTTTATGAAGAGATGAGTAAGATTTATTTATTTATTTATTGTTTTTTTTCGTGGGTGTTTTTGTTAGTGTGTTTTATAAAATAATGTCGTAAGAAGGAAGGAAGAGTTTTGGACAAGAGTTTTTTTTTTCTTACACCAGAGTGACTCCTATGATGAATAACTTGATGTTTCCAAAAGAAATGAGTGGGGGAAAAAAAGAGTAAATGACTGCACACTTATATCATTGCTCCAAAATAATTTGTACACACTACCGTTCGAAAGTTTAGGGTCATTATGATTTAAAGAAATTAATACTTATATTCAGGAAGGATGTATTAAAATGATAAAACGTGACCGTAAATACTTCAAAAGTTTGGGATTGTTTAACCCTTAACTGTCACCATATACGGGATGCCTACGTTTACTTCACTATAGTACTATTAATTAAATCCTAATACTGTATAATCATGACAAACAATATATAATTGGAAAGGTCTAAGACTCCTAAATAGATATTTTACCATTTTATTTTATTACAAATTACGTAGGAACAGTAATAGATTAATTTATGACAAGAATGCACCAAGAGTCTATGACAAATCTACATCATAACAGGAGTTCTGACCTTTGTCACAAAAAGTCTTATTTCGTTGCCTTTTTCCCTATCTCATGTTTTAGTAATCATAAGTTATATACCATTTGAAAGCTTAAAATCTCAAAATGTATCTTGTGAAAACCATTTTGAAATCGGACATTGCGTTACCATGGAAATGGTATTTCAAAATCTTTTAGGGTCTCCTCCCCCTTAGCGGGGGATGTCATATTACAAAATGTATTACAGTCTTTTAGAATCAAAACTTTTTATAATATTGACATAATACATATCGTCTTAAGATTCCATATATTGGTGGTTATTTTGGGGCAGACGTAATATTGAGAGAAATTGATAGATTTGTGACAGAAATGCATTAAAAAAAATCAATGGAGTTTGGGTGGCACCCGGTGGCTGTATTTGGTATAACGCCTAAACAAAATTGCATATGAACCAAATTTTTTTTATATCAACTTCAAATTTGGAACACAACTTATGTAGACATATGGCTTTAATTTTATAGCAATTTTTAAATATTTATTTTATATAAAATAATGGAAAAATAGTACAATACATTTTCTTTACAGTAAATTTAAACTTCTATAACTTTTTAATACTTTCATTTTATTAAATGATTTCACTTCTGTAATAATCTGCTAATTGTCTTCTTTAAAAAGAGACCAACCTTAGGTCTGTATTCAAAAGCATTCATGAATTATAATAATTCATTTTGAAATCGGACATTGCGTTACCATAGAAATGGTATTTCAAAATATTTTAGCGGTCTCCTCCCCCTTAGCGGGAGGAGTCATATTACAAAATGTATTATGGTCTTTTAGAATCAAAACTGTTTATAATCTTGACAAAATACATATCGTTGGAAAGGTCTGAGTCTCAAGATTCCATATTTTGTGATAGACGTAATATTGAGAGAGAAATTGATAGATTTGTGACAGAAATGCATTAAAAAAAATCAATGGAGTTTGGGTGGCACCCGGTGGCTGTATTTGGTATAACGCCTAAACAAAATTGCATATGAACCAAATTTTTTTTATATCAACTTCAAATTTGGAACACAACTTATGTAGACATATGGCTTTAATTTTATAGCAATTTTTAAATATTTATTTTATATAAAATAATGGAAAAATAGTACAATACATTTTCTTTACAGTAAATTTAAATGATTCCACTTCTGTAGTAATCTGCTAATTGTCTTCTTTAAAACGAGACCAACCTTAGGTCTGTATTCAAAAGCATTCATGAATTATAATAATTTAAGTTTGGATAGTGCACTTTCTCGTGAATTTTCAAAAATGGGGATGACCGTTAAGGGGTTAAATAGATAAAGTGAAAGTGAAGTGATGTGTGGCCAAGTATGGTGACCTATACTCAGAATTTGTGCTCTGCATTTAACCCATCCAAGTGCACATACACAGTAGTGAACACACACCCGGAGCAGGATTATGTGGCAATGAAGCCTTTACTAATGACTGCTGAAAATGCAGCTTTACCACCACAGGAATAAATTATATTTCTAGGAATAAATTACATTTTAAAATACTTTCAGGTCCACCTTTCTTACATTGTGTTCTGCACCTGTAGCCATCTTGAGTTAGATGTGTATACTGTTTTGTAATTTCCCATTGTTTTTGAACAAAACACAGCATAATTTGATTGTAATAGATGTTTTTAGACCTTTTTTCCTGTGTATTTGTCTGTTTACAGTGAATGACACACTGGATGAGATCTTTGAGGCATTTTATTTTAATATGCTCTGTTCTCACCTGTGAAGCATTTTGAGCTGCATTTTACCTATTAAAAGTATTATACAAATAAAAAATCTTCATTCTTATTCTACTACTGCTACTACTCTCACCACTAAGCCTAATTCTGGATAACTGTGTGATGCAATTATAATGCCAGTAGGTCCATCCCTAACTGTTTCCTAATGTTTGCTTTCTTTATCACAGGAGATGGAAATCAAGAAAATGGCAAAGACAGGAAACAGAGAGGCCTGTAAAGTTTTAGCCAAGCAGCTTGTTCAAGTGAGGAAACAGAAAACGCGCTCATATGCCGTCAGTTCTAAGGTCACCTCCATGTCCACACAAACCAAGCTAATGAACTCCCAGATGAAGATGGCTGGTGCCATGGCCACAACCACCAAAGTAAGATCTTTCTTTCTTTTTGAACTCATTTTTCTAAAAGTCTGTCCTGAGCCTCATGAATTTTAGCTCCGTTCATTTTCCTGACAGTGATTTAAAACTAAACTCTTAAGTTAGGTTGAATATTATGTGGAACTGCTGTGATTTCACATTTAAGTAAATAGGGCTGTTTATTTTGTAGTCCTAAAAACCAAGGAGTATTAGCATTTTCGAGTCATGGTTTCCCACTGGAATTTCTAATGGGTATTTTGAGTTATGGTTTTGGATTTATGAGTAAAATAAGGACTGTGGTAAACATTACCAGAAGCAACTTTACTTTTTTGTTTGTGAAATTCTCTTTAATGTGAAAGGATCTTAAAGTAATCTTAACCTTATTTTACTCATAAATGGAAAACCACTTTTCAAAAACCCCATTATAAATTCCCAAGGGAAGTCATGGCTCAAAAATGCTAGTTTGTTTCTAGCTAGGGCAGCAAATTGACATTGTGCACAACTTAACAGCTCTATTAATCATGTATGTTATGACCTGTGTGGTTTTGGTTTTATTCGAATTTGTACTAATTTGAGCGTATATGTTGGTCTATAAATGCATATCTGGCACAGTATAGTGGCATGTCGATACACAACCATTATTTTTGCATAAGTAGCCTAAAGTGCAAAATTCTAAAATGGGCATGAATCAAACAGTGGCTCGTTTGTTTGTGTCTCTGCCTTTCTTAAAACAACTTACAGACAATGCAAGCTGTCAACAAAAAGATGGATCCGAAGAAGACAATGCAGACCCTGCAGAACTTCCAGAAAGAGACTGCAAAGATGGACATGACAGAAGAGATGAGTAAGATTTATTTATTTATTTATTTATTGTTTTTTTTCGTGGGTGTTTTTGTTAGTGGGTTTTATAAAATAATGTCGTAAGAAGGAAGGAAGAGTTTTGGACAAGAGTTTTTTTTTTTCTTACACCAGAGTGACTCCTATGATGAATAACTTGATGTTTCCAAAAGAAATGAGTGGGGGAAAAAAAGAGTAAATGACTGCACACTTATATCATTGCTCCAAAATAATTTGTACACACTACCGTTCGAAAGTTTAGGGTCATTATGATTTAAAGAAATTAATACTTATATTCAGGAAGGATGTATTAAAATGATAAAACGTGACCGTAAATACTTCAAAAGTTTGGGATTGTTTAACCCTTAACTGTCACCATATACGGGATGCCTACGTTTACTTCACTATAGTACTATTAATTAAATCCTAATACTGTATAATCATGACAAACAATATATAATTGGAAAGGTCTAAGACTCCTAAATAGATATTTTACCATTTTATTTTATTACAAATTACGTAGGAACAGTAATAGATTAATTTATGACAAGAATGCACCAAGAGTCTATGACAAATCTACATCATAACAGGAGTTCTGACCTTTGTCACAAAAAGTCTTATTTCGTTGCCTTTTTCCCTATCTCATGTTTTAGTAATCATAAGTTATATACCATTTGAAAGCTTAAAATCTCAAAATGTATCTTGTGAAAACCATTTTGAAATCGGACATTGCGTTACCATGGAAATGGTATTTCAAAATCTTTTAGGGTCTCCTCCCCCTTAGCGGGGGATGTCATATTACAAAATGTATTACAGTCTTTTAGAATCAAAACTTTTTATAATATTGACATAATACATATCGTCTTAAGATTCCATATATTGGTGGTTATTTTGGGGCAGACGTAATATTGAGAGAAATTGATAGATTTGTGACAGAAATGCATTAAAAAAAATCAATGGAGTTTGGGTGGCACCCGGTGGCTGTATTTGGTATAACGCCTAAACAAAATTGCATATGAACCAAATTTTTTTTATATCAACTTCAAATTTGGAACACAACTTATGTAGACATATGGCTTTAATTTTATAGCAATTTTTAAATATTTATTTTATATAAAATAATGGAAAAATAGTACAATACATTTTCTTTACAGTAAATTTAAATGATTCCACTTCTGTAGTAATCTGCTAATTGTCTTCTTTAAAACGAGACCAACCTTAGGTCTGTATTCAAAAGCATTCATGAATTATAATAATTTAAGTTTGGATAGTGCACTTTCTCGTGAATTTTCAAAAATGGGGATGACCGTTAAGGGGTTAAATAGATAAAGTGAAAGTGAAGTGATGTGTGGCCAAGTATGGTGACCTATACTCAGAATTTGTGCTCTGCATTTAACCCATCCAAGTGCACATACACAGTAGTGAACACACACCCGGAGCAGGATTATGTGGCAATGAAGCCTTTACTAATGACTGCTGAAAATGCAGCTTTACCACCACAGGAATAAATTATATTTCTAGGAATAAATTACATTTTAAAATACTTTCAGGTCCACCTTTCTTACATTGTGTTCTGCACCTGTAGCCATCTTGAGTTAGATGTGTATACTGTTTTGTAATTTCCCATTGTTTTTGAACAAAACACAGCATAATTTGATTGTAATAGATGTTTTTAGACCTTTTTTCCTGTGTATTTGTCTGTTTACAGTGAATGACACACTGGATGAGATCTTTGAGGATTCTGGTGATGAGGAAGAATCTCAGGACATTGTGAATCAGGTGTTGGATGAAATTGGAATTGAGATCTCAGGAAAGGTAAGATCTCATCAATCAAATTATGTTGAGGCGCCAGATTCAATAAACAGACTTATTACTGTAGTGCATTAGTGTTGAAATCCATTTGTGTCCATTAAGGCTGCACAGTATATTGAATAAAAAAAAAGAACAATATGCATTGCAATATGATTTCAGTGCGTTATTCCATATACTTTAATTCAGAGAAAATATGCGTAAATTATTATATGTATCCCTTCAGAAATCATTCTAATATGCTGATTTGCTGATTATCAATATTTAAAACAGTTGAGATCCAAAGATCAGCATTTATCTGAAATAAAAAGCTTTTGTAACATTATACATTTATAAATATTAATACTATTTATTTACCAAGGATGCTTAAAATTGATCAAAAGTGATGATAAAGGCATTTATAATGTTACAAAAGATTTCTATTTCAGATAAATAGTGTTCATATCGATATCGGAATTATATCGTATCGACCGAAATTAAGAAATATATCGTGATATCAATTTTGGCCATATCGTCCAGCCCTAATGTATCATATGCGACAACTAAGCAGCAGTGATGCCAGTGCGAAGCAGAGAACCTACAGCTGAACTTGTTTTTGCATTCAAACAAGGCCAAAACGAGGAAGCACCTTGGTTGTGTGGAAGTATTTTGGCTTTAAATGTGATGACCATGCCTAATCAGAAGTGGTTACAAAACCGGTAAACCACAGTGTCTATTCAGAGAAATACGCCAAACCTCTTCAATTGGTCTGAGCACGAAAACTGTAAAAAAAAAAAAAAAAATGTCTGCAAGCATAGTTTGCTCTAACCCTCCTCCCAAATAGCACCAAAGCAGCAATCCAGTTATTCAAGTTTTGATCTAATTAAGCTTACACTTTTTTTTCAGAAGGCCTGCTTTTGCAGATTGATGTGTAACTATATTTAAAGAAGCAATATGAGAAAAGATCATGTTGAAAATGGATTTAGATTTTGCATTTGATTTTCAGTAATCCTGGAGAATGCCACTTCAGTACAAGATTTGCTGTTGCTCTGAGATGTGTTTTCTTTAACTGGAAAGAACCAGAGATATCAGTCTTAAAAAAAATTTTTTTTTTTTAAACTTTAATATAATTCTAATAGATTTGACCCACTAATCTTATATCGCATCATATATCGCCATCAAATTATCCAACAAGCTTTTTATTTATCGTGCAGCAGTTCGTGTAACTATAAATTCCCTATCCAGCAGTGTCAGATAAACGTACCACATCACAGTGGATTTCATTAAATGATATTACCATACAAGTGTTGTTCATGTAAATGTTAAAGTCAGTTTTTACATTTTGCGTGGTGTGTATGTGCATAAATTTGTTCTTGCCTCTTAATTTGCATAAAACCTGCCCCATCTCCATATAAAGGTGTTCTGCACAACCTTCATTCTGAACAACGTCATCTGTACAGCTATTCATCACTCTTTGCAAATGTGTCCTTATGTTCTGCACTCTAACCTGAGAGCACACACAGCAGAATCTTTATATAAAACACATTTGCTCATCCGCACAGCATGGAACTTTTTTCCAGTTTTGAATGGGTTAAATACAGAAAGTTAACATTTTAGCATTGACTTGGAACAAAGTACTGGTACTTTTTAGACAACACTAAATAAATGTGTGAACACTGATTAATCATAACTTCTGTATGAAAACGTTCACATGTTTTTTTTACATTTTTTATTTTAGAGAATGAGATCCATAGAGAATTAAAATGTTCTAGACCCTACCGCCTATGCAGTGAAGTGTCATGACTATTGAGTCTTGGATTGTGGAAGCACTATCCATCACATTGTATTTTTATCCATAATGGATTTTTCGTTTCCCCTGCAGATGGCTCATGCCCCTTCAACTGGCCGAAAGCAACCAAGCGCCGCTACATCCAAAGCAGATGGGATATCAGATGAGGAGATTGAGAGACAGCTCAAAGCTCTAGGAGTGGACTAGTGCTCGTGCACACATGCACTCAAACACCTGATTATTGCCTGGCAACAGCACACAATCCACAGATTCACAAACACGCATTAGAATACATTCATAACAAATACAAATGCATAGACAGATGCTGATAAATGGACAGTCCAAAAGCTTGTCCAAAAACTCACAGTCACGGACCTGCCTTCTCTGGGATAACGTGCCACAGATGGCAAATGCAATTTTTGTTTATTTTTGCTATTCATTTATGACAATGAGAGATGACTATTGAGGTTGTTTAGGACCCTTTCAGGTGAATCTCAGTTTCATCTGGCTTTAGAAGGACAAAAATAACAAGAACAAGTTTGAATACATGTGTTGTAAATGAATACATACAATGCCTTCGAGACTAAGGCGGATGTGTTCCCTTGAAATCCACAACTTCTGTCTCTTTGACTTGATTTAAGGTTTAGATATTAGTAAAATTACTGATGCACATGTGCCATCTCCCACCATCAGGATTGTATGTGTTTGAGTGCGTTCGGTTCGGTCCACCACTGCAGTAAGAAATGAGCCACTTCAGCCGTACACTGACTGAGACGAACACCGAAATTACGCCCCTGGTCGTCTCCCACCGTCAGGATTGTGTGTGTGTGTTTGAGTGAGTTCGATCCACCACTGCAGTGAGAAATGAGCCACTTCAGCCGCACACTGACTGAGACGAACACCTGATCCAACGGACACATCTTCAGAATGAACATCAACCATTGGCAAGGTACGAGGGGTCCAATAAAAATCATCTTATTTGAGCTTTTCACTGTAAAATTTTATTTTAATGTCTTTTTAATTTTGTCTGTCATGACGCTTGTTAATTTTCTCAGTGTTTGACTTGAAAGGAGTGAAATAATTTCCTTAAGAAATGAATTCCTTGTGAAGCCGAAACTCAGGAACTCACACAAAACAGATGCCATACAATAAAACTGATCTGGAGAAGGGATCTCCAAAGAGGACAAACAACACCTCTCCCCTTGCTCATTTACGACCCCCTTCCTCCCTCTCCCCTCCTCTGACTCTACCCTCTTCTTCCCCAAAAGCAAGAATATCCATATGCCACATGTTATATCTTGTGAATATGTTGTTTCCCTTTCATGTTTGATATCGTTTTAAAGGTCTCAGTGCGATTGGTAAAATGGTCTCAATTTCACAGTAGTCACTTGTATTATGAGAAATATTGAAAACTTTTGTAGAATTGTGTTCTGCTGAGGATGGGGTGTGTTCCTCTTTAGGGGTCTTTGGGAATGTTTATCTATCTCCAGCCAGGTGTGACCCTGGATCACAGAACCTAACAAACCAAAAGGTATTTTATGTTTTTACAACTGATTTGAAGATTTCTTTATTTTTCTTATTTGGGTATATAGGGGAAGTGACAAAACGCTACTTTGGGATTCTGTAGTCAGAAAAGCCCCCATGCAGTGTGTGAGAGTCTCTGGAGCTCTGCACCAGGACTCTCGCTGCTGTGTCTCTCTGCTGTCAGGTATGATACAAAAATGTAATTTTGTTAAACACATTGTGCCCATAGAGCACACTTTATAGTTGTTTGTGCTACTACATGTGCACATAGGTGTTTTAGAGTATAAACTTAACTAGCCTGAGTGCTTTGCTATGCATTTTAGACTGTCTTGTTAAATTAGCATAACCGTTACATGCCTCTAAAACACCCGAGTGCTTTGCTATGCATTTTAGACAGAGTGTCTCGTTAAATTAGGATAACAGTTACATGTGTGACTGTTAAATTTGTTTGTCTCCTGCGTGGAACACTTGGCTATTTTCCATATAGCTACAGTATCTATGTACAGGAGCGGGGTTGCCACGTGGCTACAATGTGATTCACAATTGCATTATCTTTTCTAAATTGGTTTCTAATGGTTTCATTATGTAATTGGCATGGTACAATTTTACCTGACAAACAATAGTTTATTCGATTTGGATCTCTTCTGAAATAATTTTTCTAGTAGATTGTGTAGTCTTAACATTTCCACAAATCTGCGTCCAGGCCAGATCATACTTAAGTACCAATGAGCGAAGCAGGTGGCTCTCCATTAGGGATCTTCTGATTTCTGTCTGTCACTGGCTTAAGTTACAATTTTCGGGATTATAAAAACTATTTGCTAGCAGGGTTCGGCTCCTAAAAGGTATAAATCACCCTGTATCCTCCGAGTAAGTTACAGAACTGGCGAGTTTGTGTCCGTGCGTTCAGTTGAGTGAATTTCTAAGCAATGTCAGGTCCTTAATGAACGAATAATTGAAAGTATGGGATTTCTAGAATACTCAAATATCTTAATATACAATCAACATTTGGGATTAAATTTAGGCAATGTTTCTCATTAAAAACTGATCACTTGAAATGTGAGTCAGATTGAACACGGAGCTAGACTAAAATTGAAACCAAGTCTTGATAAATTCTAAAGTGCAAGTAAAAGACCGAATATGCATTAAACCTTCGACCAGGCCACTGGATTCTGCTGTTCTGGGCTGGCAGGTGGATTCTTACGGACTGAACGAACCAATCACAGCTGCAGTGCTATTTTAGCATCAATATAGTATTTTGATTCAGTATTTTCATTTCATTAAAACAGAGCCATGAAACTGGAAACTGTATTTGCTAGAGATATTGGTTTATGCAAAAGACAAGTTTGCACAAGTAGGCTATAAAGAAAAGAAATTTGACCTGCAAGACATATGGAAAGCAAGAGCACTCACAGCCCAAGTTAAAAGCCATTGTATTAAAAGTAGTCATTAACCATGTAAGAACCTCATGAACCATGCAAATTTGAGATGTCCAGCTTCAAACACATGTCAAATTTTCAACAAGAGGCAAGCAATGACTGATTTTAAAAAAAAAGTTTTATTTCATTCATGCATTTTATAGCTAGAAATTAAGCACAATCATGGACAAGGAGGCATGTATGTGGTCTCAAACACATCACCTGAAAGTGAAAGGAACAGGAAGTCAGCTTGACATGCATGAGCAACAGGAAATTCAGCCAAAAGCATGAGTTACCGAACATACTTGGCTGATAGTAGTCATAAACTTCAACGACCGCTGGCTTGAGATTCTGCACTGCAAGAACCTGTTTCAGTTGTAGCCTGTAGGTCATGGGGACGCCCTTGGGAACCTGCGAGACAGAAGGGATGAAGAGAAGTACATATGCAGCACACATGAAGGGGGCATATAGAAAACATATCCAGTGCGCATCTCACCTCTTTCAGATACACAAGCACATGGTCATCCAGTGCACATCTCACCTCTTTCAGATACACAAGCACATGGTCATCTCCAGTATCAACCCGCTGCACTAATGGAGCAAATGAATCTGGTGGAGATCCAAGCTGAGGGGAAAATGTCCATTAACATGTGAAGCAGCTTCAAGCATCTTAGGACTTTACACACAATTCATCATAAAACATACGAACCAGTGACGTATCTGCTGTGAAACCCGACAAGAGTTTCATGCTCACGATAACCATGTTGGTAGTTGATTTTTCACCATTGTACCTAAATGAAGGGGAGTTAAAAAATAAAAAAAATTAAAAAGCCAAACACTTCCGATTTAACAATTAGGTGCATCTACCAAAAAAAAAA